AGTTGTTTATCGAGTGGAAAGATGAAAATTGTTCGATTTATCGTCAATTCGTTTGATTTCAAATGGAATAAAATGCATCTAATATTATAAAAATGCAGGCGTTTCACTGTTTCCATTGGGTGGGTGCGATTCTAATGAATTTATTACCAACTACTAGGTAATAGTAGGTATGTGATATGGAATAAATATAGATTATCTATATACACTTATACAGACAGCTTTATAACAACCGGCAGGTTAACAATCCATATAATATATCATATATCTGGATTATACTGTAAGGTTAGTAACCTAAATTCATAAATACATAATACAATAGTTCGAAAAACGATGGACAAACTTACCTATGAAAGATTCTCTGATAACATTTGATTATTGGATTCTGATAATGTCTAACGATATGTTACCTCCTGATAGGTGTTCTTGATCAAATATAAATTAAATTATAATATAATCAATAAATAACTTAAATGTTTCCATTTCGCTTTTTTTTTAGGTTTACAATTTGCGATCATTTCATAATAATTGTCGCCAAACAATAAAACACCATAATATGAAGTCGCTGTGGGTTACTTCGTTTTGTCCGGACGTGTATAAGCCCGACATTAAACAGACTATATTTTTTCCCACAATATACGTGAAGCAAATCGTTATTATTTATTATATTAGTTATTATATTTTATGTAGCAAACGAAATGCATCGGAAAAGCTTGACATTTTGATTGAAAAACCGAACGGCTCGGCGAAAATACTTAATTTGAACTGCAAAAAGTCTGAAGTCGAGGGGTTATAATGTGACTTATGAGTTTATCGAAAAACACGAACGAAGAAGTATATTTTCGGTCTTCTTTTTGTCGTGCGCTGCAGCAGCAGACTTCAGAAAAATGTACACTTCCAACACGACGACGCCATCACACGATATTTAGACTATACACCAGTTCTATGTATCGAAATTTCATCGCCAGTCAATTATACGGCTATTATTGTTCACATGGGCGTACCGAGCCCCAACGTGCGTCGACGGTGTGACTGAGGAGAAGGGAATTAATCCTGGCAAATTGTCATATATTATTATACACAATCTCGCCCGACGACGGTGTTTCGACAAAACAACCGACTATACTCGAATAATATATATATATATAATAATATATCATCATATAACGAGAGAAATTGTACGAATTATTATATGGATAGTATATCGATATACAATACGCTCATATACAATACAATACCTCATACATCATAACAAGACTCTCGAATTTTTACACATTTTAATGGACGGCAAATATATCATATATAGACAAAAAGAATACTCGCGTGGGAGGCAGCCTTATCGAACACCGTTTTGGTACACCATCGGACTACATAATATAGTGAACAGCAATTTATTAGAACAAAGCTGGTTTTTGGCTGGATATAGTGTTGTAAAAATACAACATCAAACTAGTTTATTTAAATAGGTGTATTGTTCATTTGAACATATTTTTTTTTTTTTACATCAACTTTTTGAGTGTTCCAGTAAAAGTGTTCAATCTCTATTAAATTTACAAATTTTTTATTTTCTAATGTCAATTTATTAAACTGCTTTATTCAGATGTCCGTATTTAGTAAATTTCCGTAAATATTCACTCGACTGTCATCATGATTCATTACACGGCACACCTAATTAAATAGAATTGAGAATTTTGCTATATTTTATCAGTTATCAGTTATATACATAGTCGAGTCTTTTCAGTCTCCAGCTGCTACTGGGACACATTTTCTAAAAGCGATACTTTTATGAGCACTGTAAGCGCTGCAGTAGTGCAGTCGTTTATAATATGTCAGCTGTACCCACAAAAAATTGTCTTCAAAATAAAAGTATAATTATAGTATAAAAATATAAAATATGGTGTTAAAATTATTAAATAGTACCTACAAAACCCGAATGCACAAAAACTTTAAAAAGCTCTAGAAGTAAATTATAATTCAAACTTCACTCTGAATAATATACAGACTGATAAATAAAGTAATAAAGTATTATATGTTCAGAGGTAATTCAATTTAAGACAAAAAATATGTTATTTTTTTGGAATTTTATGGAAAAAAAATAGAAACCTTAAATATTCCGGATCAGAAAAACGAATTGCGATCGGAATACCTATTAGAGAAACGTCGGTTAGTAGAAAAATCAATAATCATAACTAACAAATCTAATATTTAAATCATTGTTTTTTCCTCTTGTTGTTACCTCTAAAGTACTAAGTACTTACCTAGTACTACCTTTATTTTTTATAAAGTTAAGATAATATTTAAATTTTAAATTGTTGCGTCGTTATTGTGTTTCATAAAATACTATTTTGTAACATATAGGTAGGTATTAACTTACTATTAGAATACGACAGGAATACTAAATTTTGACTTACGGTTTTAAAACTATAGTACAATTTTCGTCCACTAAAAAATTTAGCCACTCGCCGATTGGCTATATTCGTTACGAGAACCAATAGAACCGCGAAGAACAATCCAACACAATTTTATACCAACACGATAGTTGTGCGTGTTTCAAATCCATTGGGTCAACGACGTGTTTGATAACGTATTATAATTGTTTACTCTTTTGAAACTCCTTTAGGTAAGTACCTACGACCTACCAATGAGTATCAAAGGAGGGCTCGAAAGTCAATGATTTTTTGAGCAGATGCTCTTTTACCTATCAAACGATTTTAAAAATACAGATTTAAATAACCAAATCTTATACTTCTGTTTTTGGAAATGAATTAAGGTTATTTTTTGTAATTTAGGTCATTTTTGTCCATTTTCCTCTAATTAAAAGAAAATTTGCAATTTTTTTTTGTTAAAGATTAATGACAAATTTTACAATTAAAATAAATATACATTTCAAAACTATTCATTTGATAAAAAAAATTATAGTTTTTAAACAAAAAATAAATATCAACACAATCAATTAGAAAAAGTATTAAGTATTTATAAATTATTTTAATTTTTGTAATCAACTTCTGAGTCTTAGTCTACTAATTGCGGTAAACTAATATAAGTAGTTTTTATATCGTTCAAAATTCGAAAACGAGAGAAAACATTCAAAAGTATTATTCAATTTTGTATAAATGATAAAATGAACCAACTATGGTGCCGAAAACGACGTGCTATCGATCATTCGACGCTTCACAAAATCTTAAACTATAATAATGTGATACCTATATTAGGTATTTGAAAAAGTCCGTTCTCTCAAAAAGTCGAAAATATAATAATATTACGTAATCATGAATCGGTTTAGATCCTATAACTTTCACCATACCTATAATTTGACGAACGTCGATAGATGTCTAGTTTCTTTCGTCATAATTATTATCGTTTGGTTTTCGTCGTGGTAGGAAAATTTAATGTCATATTGTCGGCTCATTTTTACTGTAAAAGTCATATATTCACGACTCATCGCTAGCTCAATACTATATAATATGAAGGTATTGATCTGCGAATAAAATCGTAAAAAGCTACATTAATAGGTGCATTCTTTATTCCTAAATGATACCTATATTATATTTTCACCGTATTTGTTGTGGTGTAAATGGTACCTTTAATAATTGCATATTTATATTAGGGTATATACTTATATTATGGGGTATGCTAATAATATAAAAATCGACGAAAACCGCGTTTGGACCGTCCTTGCAATTGTTATTGTTGTTACTTGGTTCGACTGTAATAATATTGTATCGGTCAAGAAATTAATAAAATATAAATAAATATTATTTTATGATGGAAAAATTTAAAAAAAAAATGCATTTAGTAATATATATATATATATATTAAATTTAATACAATAAATAATGTACACGTTGGGTATTAAATCAAAATAATATAATATAATATTAAAAAAAATATTGTATTGTATATTTTATTGTCCGTCGATAAATCGAAAGTACAAATACACGCAGTCATAAGAGGTATTTACAAACATTTTACGATACACACCACCGGGAAATAAAACAATCGATTTTTACCTTAAGCAAAGTGCTAAGTAGGTATATAAGCTGTGATTGATGACTGATGACAACAATATAAAATATCGTTCGGCGCCGGTCCGATTTCATACAAAACAAAATTCATCCAAAGGTAGGAGAGGTACTGGCAGAGGGGACGAGGGGGGGGGTTGAACTAGTCGATAACGCGCAGATTCAGCGCCGAGATTACGGTCCCTATCGATTCGAAAATGTTCGCTTTGAAGTCGGTGCGGCGGCCAATTTGCGTAATGGGTATTTTTAGCATCGCCTCAAGTCACGTCTCTGCGCGGGTTCGGATGCACGAAAAAAAAAAACATTCCGTGGCAAAAAAAATTCTCTGAATTCTCGGCTCTACACTGTATAACCGTCCGCGGTGGACATCGCCGAAGAGAGCGATCGTTCGAGCAACCTTTATATTTGACCATTTCGAGAAACCCGAAATGCCAAACCGAAAAATATTATACGAATGTCGAACAGAACGATAACGACTAAAAAAGTATGACCCTGCACTGAATATTATAAATTAATAGTTGCGGTCGGGTACGCCAACGTTTATTCTCTCAACACTGAATTTAACAGTTTTTTTCTCATCGATCGTAAGCGGTTTGAATTTGATTGTTAATATTTTCTGAACACCTGGCAGGGTGGCGACCAGTGCGTGGTGCACATTACGTACTATAATGATAATGTGCTCGGGACGTTCGACAAGCGAGCAGAAACCGGCTAAACGGCAGCAGCGTTCATATAGAAAGGTTTATTATTTGTATTCTAAATACCTAACGATTTACACGCAAACCGTTTCACAGAGATGAAAATTATGTAGTGATTTTTCTGGTCAAATAAAATGCCACACCGAAATCTAGGAGAATCGATGGTCCGTCGTTGATTACGAGTCGGTGGGAAAAAAATACAATTTGTGTACACCTAGAGGTACATTCGGGATGATTTAATTTCTAAGCGGCGTATACCTATTCGTTTGTTCGACTGCCGTCGTCATCGCTGTTGCTCTAGTTGGTCGAGTTCCAAAAACTTGTACTTGACCAGCACGTCGTGAACTTCCTTTTGTGCCTGCACCGACAGCCTTGGTGGCAGTGTTTCCAGCGAGGTGGCGATGTACCTGGAGAACAGCTCGGCGGACGACTGCTGTCGCTCGTACATCAGCCTCTTGGCGAGGGGAGGTTCGTCCACCACCGATGACGACGACGACGGTCTCTTGGCCGAGTCGTTGGCGTACGATGAGCCGTAGTCGAACGGTGCAGTGGTGTAGTTATTGGAACTCCCGGGGCAGCTGCTCTCGTCGGCGTAATCTATGGACTGGAAAAAAAACGAGACAATGGCGACGTGAAAACGAGTAATATTTGGCTTACAAACTAGGTACTAAAATATACTGAACGGCTGCTAACGTGGAGCTGGCCGCGTTATCGAAGACATATTCTGTTGTGCATCAACACGATGTAAACGTTATACTAATACCTAATAATTTTTTTTTTGTAACAATTTTATTTTCGCCTAAAGGTTTAATAACTCAGCTTAAGTTAACACCAACGCGATAGCGAAACTATATAATATAGTGTGTTTTGTGCTGCAGTGGACGATTATTCAACGATTGGTGCAATTAAATACTTTATAATTGAATATTTATTATTGAAAAATGTACGTCTGACAATATTATGGGGGTACGTTATACTCTTGACAGGAAACCATTTTATTTTACCTGTGAGTTGCGTCCCATTCCTATATTGCGTGAACAATGGCAGTAGTTATATACGAGTACACAAAACGAACGCAATCGTCGCTGTATATCACACACAAAAACCTCAGACACAGCCAGTGGTTGGAAACATTTTGAGTCCGTCCGACAGGGCAGTATAGCTCAAATTGTACGGTGAGAAATACCAATAATAGTGCTTTAATTGTATGGGCAGTTCGGATCAATACCTGCCCAACAGCTATTGGTAGATACTTTTCGATTTTTGATATCTCATATTCTCAATGTATGTAAATGACATACCTAAATATTAATTGTCGATCATAAAAACAATTATCTCAACGCCATACACCATATTCTACTCATCGGTAAAATTTAATTATCGGTTTAAAAAAAAAACCACCGGTCGGGGGCTCGTGCGCAACCACCAGTTGTTGAGGTTAGGTACTCACCAGCATGTCGGCGGTGGACGGCGACGAGTAAAGGCGTTTGACGGCCGCGCCGCCGATCATCGAGTCCAGTATGGAGAACCAGAGCAGCTTGGGCACGTACGGCGACGAGGCGTCCTCCTCCTCGGACTGGACGAGGTGCCGCTGCGCCGAGTCCTTGATCTTCTTCAGCTCCTGCAGGTACGTGGACCGGATGTTCTTGATCTTGCTGGCCACCTCGGGCACACCCAGACCCTCGACGGACATGGCCTCGGCGATTCGCCGGTACGCCCGCAACCTCTCGGTCCGCTTGTTGTACGCCTCGTGCTCCTTGTCCCACAGCACCCGCTGGTCGCGGTACAGTTCGACGAACCGCAACGTCATCTTTTCGTTGAGCCGCACGTTGATGACGGACGACATAATGACGTGGTCGGCGGCGAAAACTACAACTGTGTACGTCGTATCGGCTGTAGTGACGTTATGGTATTTAATGGCTCTGCGACCCGTCAGTGAGGGCAAGAGAAACCGCCGAAAAATCGTGAAGAGGACGGAACGCAAAACACACCAGACCGGCACCCACGCGCTCTGCGGCCGCACTGACGCCAGTGCCGACGGGGGCGGGCGAGTGCTCGTCGAGCGTCCGTTTTGTGTGTACCTCTCCTACTCGTCTCGGTCGCAGAGCACAGTTTGTGTGTGTGTGTGTGTGTGTGTGTGGCGCAGTGCCGCCGCCGCCGCCGCCATCGCCGCCCGACAAGAGGAAAAAAAAAAATAATAATATAATGAATACACGACCGTCGATTATTTACACACGCACACACTCACATGACCCTCACGCACACACTCACATGACCCTCACACACACACACAGGCGGTTAACATAATAATATATCATAACGTCATAAACATCGAGTGATACAGGGCCGGTTCTTCTTTGGGTTGGGTCGGAAACGGCCGGTGTCGGTTTTCAAATTTTTTTTTTTTTTCTGCTCTAAATCGATACACCGATGACGACGACTATGACGCCGTTACACGTCTTTTATTATGTCGTTTCGGAATTAAAACGTTTTGAAGACCGAATTTTCGCGGGGCCAACGACGACGACGACGACGACGACGCCGACCGTAGAGAATGAACACATTATTACGGCGGAACGAGGGGGAAAACTGGTTTCAGCCGCTGCCGAACAAAATATATATTTTATTCTGGCGGACGCGACATTATTTTATTGTTGTATAGGTACCATTCCTTTACAACGAAAAATGTTTAGGGTATACACCGTGATGTGTATAAAATCGTAATCAATATTATTTTATCGTACAATAGTTTTTTGATCTAATTTTTTTTCCGATACGTGGCTGCACCGATATTGTTTTAAAATAATATTATTCACAACGATTTCGTTCGGAATCATTATGTTACTATAATATACGTAATATCATATTATTATTATGCTCAATATTGGCCTCAGTTTCGTTCTACGAGCCTCGGTTACTATAAAAAGTCATGATAAAACTATATTTTTTTATAATATTGTTGTGTGTACCGATAATGTTTTTATAGCCGTCGAATAAATAAAAATATGTGTCTACAGCGGGTATCGATTACGCGCACCATTCGACTGTGTGTGTGTGTGTGTGTGCAGCGGTTTTTCAATCTAGACGTTTTCAAATCGAAATTGAATATTGTACAGATAACATACCAAAGGTCCGTCTCGATTGCTAAACGCCGATTTTAAATATCGTTTCATAATCGTCGGACATTATAATAATAATAATAATATAATGGCAAAAGTATACAAATATAATATTATACCGCCGAAATTTGCGTGGCAGTACCTACCTACCGCAGCGGAATATATTCACACAATATCGAGTATACTATACCACTATAAAAAACAAATTGTATGTTTTCAACTATATTGATTTTAATATTATCGAAAACAATATTATGTAATTTGTATACGATATCGTTTGCGTGAGCGAACGTCTGAAATATTGCGAATACTATACTATCGTGTATATAATACCTAAAGAATTGGAAAGAATAAAATAAAAACCCTATTATGTCTATGTAGTTTCTGTCAAATTTTCTGACCCACTATACTGCGTCATGTCGTGGTGTACAGGTCACAATAAATAAAACGATAATCATATCTGTATGGGCATATGTTAAAAATCTTGTACGAATTATCGTACGATTGGAAACATACTTGGACATTATAATAATATCCAGGTAATATATAAAATTAAATGATTTCTTCATAATATGGAAGTATCTATATCTATATAGTCTCGTATATTATAAAAAGCGACAAATCAATAAAAAAAATATTCATATGTTATATGTAAGCATGAACAACGAACCGCATAGTTTTTTTTTTTAGCAGATACATTTAGCTGGGATAGGTGTGCCTTTCTCTATTTTTAGTCGTATTCGACGTTAATTAGTACAAAATGGTTTTAATTGGAGGCCACGTGACATAATAATATTATTAATTAATCTCAAAAATAAAATATAGAAAAGTTAAGGGGCCTGGTCGCGATTTTTCAAATTTTCCGCAATTCTATAAAATTTGAAAATTAAATTTTATATTTTAGTTGCCACCTCAACTATAAGACTTTTCCACTAATCTACTACCCAATACCTATTTAGGGGGGGGTTGATAGGGTGTATTATATCGGTCAAAACACAGTTTACAGGAAAAACTCTCACCCCTCGTGGATTGGTCCGATTTTCGTAATTTTTTTTTTGTTAGATAGAGGAATATTTTTTACAGGGCGCATTGGACTTCGATTTTTGATTACGTCGCTAAAAACAAAAAATAATACAAAAACTAAAAAGTTGTAAAAATTGATTAAATTCAAACTTGTAACATAAGACTTAGAAAAATAATTTTGAAAATCCAAGTCCAATGCACCCTGTAAGAAGTCTTCCTCTATCTAACAAAAAAAAAATTACAGAAATCTGACCAATCTACGAGGCGTGAGAGTTTTTCCTGTAAGGCATGTTTTTGAGCAAAAAAACAGGTCGCGTGCAGGCCCCTTAACGTTCGATTCGTAAGCAATTAAATTTAATAATTAAATATTATGTTATACACCTGTGTATAAGTGATATTTTGATTCGACAAAAATGTTAGTGCTTCAACAATACCCGCTGCAGTAAACGTTATACATATTAAATCGTTTTTACTGTTATAGTTATAAGTTTATAACTTACAGGCGTTTTATTATTTGTGATAATTTATGTTTCACAACTCAGCGCGTTTCATCAATCGTTTTAATACCGGTTCTAAAATAAAAAAAAAATAATACGTTTGAAATGATCTGTCTAAAGGTCTCCGAAGTCAACTTACAAATTACACCAATTGGCCTTTAGACGATCGATGATGTAATATTTCTTCTGCGGCGCATGGTTTCAATAAAACTATCATACGCACGCAAAAAAAAAATAATATAATATTACCAACGAAACACTATACTGGCATAATTTAATTATGTAACTCTGCAAAATATGATTATATTATTATTGTATTGCATGAGAAAATCTGGTGTTTAATGGTATCGATAAACCTGCTGCAGGAATATATGAGTTGTTTTCATTGAAATCGTGGTTGTTTGTATCATATTATAATATTATAATATTATAATATTATTATTTTATTTATTTTAGCAATCAGCCACAATTCGTGGGACCACTGCAGGACAGAGGTGTGGGCCAGGCATTTGCAAACATTAAATAAGTGTTCCCATTTTATTGTGAAATAAATTGTGTATGAAGATCGAGCATTTATTTTTATCGACGGGGTGTATTACATCGCGTGAATACTCTGCTCGATTTATGAATTTAAATTTGAATTGAACCTGTGCGTTGAAAAACAGTCTTACTGGTTATATATTAGAGAGAAAATAACGTGTGCTTATTAGCCTCTGTCACTTGGAGAAACGTATGAAACCTAAATTAAATCGAAGTGCTTTTAAAGTTTTAAACATCAAAAAGTACACAATCGTCGGTATATAAATAATAATAATCTTCGTCTTTATCATTCTGCAAATTGTAAGTCGTTCACCATTCATGATTTCAAATCAAATTGTGTAACGAGACAATGAGCGTATCAAGGATAAATACATTTTGGGCTTTGAAGAATTTTAAACTTTCCACATAAGGTGGGCGGCCATGATAAGAGAAGAAAATCGAATTAAATGTTTTTAACGGTCGGAAAAAAATTACTAATGGTACACCTACAAAGATAAACATATATATATATACAAATATATTGCTGCTGCTGCTGCTCAAACGTATTTATTTCAGTCACACAAGTTTTGTAATTAAAAAAAAAAAAACAATAACAATAAATAAATAATAAACTGGAACAATATAAAGTTTTTATGTACTTTGGCGGGCTAAAAAATGAAAATAAAAACACCGGCGCGACGGAAAGTAAATGTTTTTTTTGCTTTATACCTATACACCATTACACCGAGCAAGTTCTGAAAAAAAAAAATAAAGAACATATTATATTGTAATGGAATACATTTTCAAGTAAACGACACAACGATTTGAAAACCATGAATTATACCTACCTCAACCCTTTTTAATTAAATATTTCACACTCCCAGAGTATTAAAAAAAAAAAAAACGAAACAGATTCAAAATCAAAATACATCAATAGTTATTAATTATTACTCTCAACCCCCTCCCAAAAAAAAAAAAACAAAAAACAACGCACCGTGGCTATTTTCGTGTTTAAAAAAATTGAATTGGATCGTACGTCAAGTGCGTCCCAAAATCAAATCTTAAATCCACCCAGTCGCGAACCAAAAAAAAAAAAAAATTTTATAATACTATACTTGTACTCAATAGTTGTAGTTGGGGCTCTCGGACGAGATAAGCGCGTCCGGCAGTGATTATTGCCACGGTGCAATGCGTTAGCAGGAGAAACCGGTCTGGGGAGGCTGCGCATGCGCGTGCGAGAGCCTAACGTTATTGCGTCGGTCGACAGCCGCGGCGGCGTACCAGAGATTTTTTTTTTTTTTATCATCGATTTCCGGAATTTCGCTTGTCCGTTATCGTTTGCACGCGTACAGTTTCCAAACATAATAATAATAATGCAACAGTAATATAATAATAATCATTCATATTATTATATTATGGATTTTAACATACAATAATAATTTTGAACACACGAAAAACCGACGCCTGCAAGTCAGAAGACTTATCAATGGTCATAATAATATATGCACCGTATCTGTCTTACACGAGCTTGTAACATTATATCAAATACCTACGTACCGGATTGTTGTACACACGGACACGGTTAGTTTCAAGTTGCATATTGGTTAGGATATACTTATTACTTGTCGGCGGATTATTGTAGAGGAGAATATAATACAAAGTAAAAACCATACGGTTGAGCAAAAAGT